TGTATAGTTGAAAACAGTAATGAAAACTGTATCCTATTCCAAACCATCATTCTATCTTTTGTTTTATTCACATCTGATATAGGTACCTACTAATTTAAAGTCATTATCAAACCACTTGAGACGGGTACATTTCTTCTGTATAAATTATTTGAATACTGATGTTTTAGATCGATTATCATCTATGTCTATTTATGATATTTTTCTACCTGCACATATTGTAAATTTACTGTAACAATCTAGATGTTTCACAATAGTAAATACATATAAGATTTATGAAAATACAGAACACGGACAATGAACGTGTTTTCAGATTGTCTTTGTTCTAAAAAATATGGATCTCATGAAATCTCTGAAAACTATATTGAATTCTATAATTCATTATTTTCGAGGAATTCCAGATCTGAACCAATTATTAATATTGAGGTTTCATGGGACCCCTATATTGGAATCAATTACTTTTTCAGATGATCACTATTTAAAATTGGGAAATTATGTAATTGTATCGATTATAAGTGACCAGATGCATTTCTAGCGATGAATTTATTATATTATCAACACATATTGATGGCAGATATCTTTGAATTTTTATCACTTAATATTATGAAGATTAAATGATATACATATTTGGAGATTCTCGTTTTTTTGTGACTTCTGTACAAATGGACCAATCAATAAGGATATTTAAAAAATCCACAAGAGGAGTTGATTTCATGAATATTTGTGATATAAATCGTACTACAATACATATAAATAGTTGTTTATTTTTATCTCTATATAGAATTTATGGTTCTCCCCAAATTAATTACTAAGATATCTGAGAATATTATTGTTTCCACAGAAAATAAGGTGTTTTGCTAATGTTATCCTAAGTGAACTTTAGCAAATTTGCGAGTTGTTTACATCAAACATCCCGTATACGCCTTTCTAGACCCCTTACAAATAATACACAATCATGTCGTTTTGATGGATATTCTCGAATTCGTCTTGTTAGCACATGAGCTCGTTAAATTTCAAAAATATCTACGTACATTTCATACAATTCGATAGGCTGAAATACGCGAAATCGATCAGTTCATACGTGTTCATTTCTTGAGTAACATTCAAAATAACATTAAATGTCGTAAGTTTAACGAGAATGCTTGAATTTGTTGAAGTATCTTGATATTTTGTTCCGAAATACGGTATGTATCATGTATCTCCTCTGTTTGGTGTATAATTTTATCGTACAATACAAAATGCATAAGTAAAAATTCATAAATTCTGTTGTTTCCGAAAAATATTCCATATGGAGTTGAAAAATGTGAGTATTTTCCAGTTTTACTTTCGAAAGTAGATTTTTCAATTATTTTCGAAATTACTCACAGCTATGCAGATTTATGCCACTAATTGTAAAAACACTTTTTCATAGTGAAGACTGGACTATTCTGAAGTAGATACTTATATACAGGGTATGTCACGACGAGCTTACACTATCTTTATATCAAGAATCAGTCTGGAGAAATCCATGAAAGTGTGCAAGCTTATATTTCAGAATACGCTCTCTTCATTACAAATATTTTCGACAATGCTTCTACTAGAAAGTAGTAGCAACATTGATATGTCAAAAGGAACACCCTGTATTCTATCGTATTTTCAGATTCTTCCTGAAGAACTGATTTAATCGATATATCACACTTGGGGTCTATCGAAAATTATTACAGAAATATTGGGTGTGCAAAATCGAGATTTTTCAACTTTATGATTTTTTTGTGTCGATACTATTCATTATCGGTCAAAACGGCTCACATGCCCCTATCTCAACTTTTGATTCAATATTTACTGATATTTAATCGGAACAGATACAGTGTGGTTCAATATTCAGAATCCTGATCATCCTGTATCTGTTCCGATTAAATATCAGTAAATAGTAAATCAAGAGTTGAGATAGGCGCATGCGTGAGCCGTTTTGGCCGATAATGAATAGTTTCGACACAAACAAATCCTAAAGTTAAAAAATCTCGATTTTTGATACCCTATATCTCTGTAATCATTTCCGATAGACCCCAAGTTGTTGCTACTTTTTGATAGAACCGGCAACACTGCATTGCTGACATTATTTTAAATATAGAGAGCGTATTCGAGAATATCAGCATGCATTCATGTATTTCTCCTGACTGATTTTCGATATAGAGATAGTGTAACCTCTTTGTGACATGCCCTGTATTGTACCTACTCCTAAAGCCTTCTAGACGTTGATGATGTTAACTTCCAAGTACCTACTTACCGGGTTACAGTTAATGGAGTTCCACCTCCTGTAACTCTTTTGTTTTTCTCCTAATATAATAATGAACAACTTTTTCTCAATCATAGATCATAATTTCAATATTTTTTCATGCTTATTTTTATTTCAAAGATGCAAAAAATGTAAGTATTACTGGTGGTGGTACTCCGTGTCATTTCTTCATAATGCGACTAAAACTACTTCTACAACTCAGTAAGAAACTGTACTCGGCATGGCTCCACCATTATGGTATTTGTACAACTGCATAAACTATATTCGAGAGCATGTGAGCATCTTATCTATTGGAGGTAAATACAAAAAATCCTCTGAAAACTAGTTTCTGTTTCATTTCTGATCTTAAAAAGATTCTTGAGGCAATCATTTCACCTGTCGCACCCTTGCAGATTTTGTAAAAACACTTACGTATATTCTTGGTGAAGAGTCCTTGCATCCTAAAAGTGATTCATTTGATAGTTTTCATTCATTTTGTTGATTGTGTTTTAGGGAGCAATCAGAGCAGTGATTCGGGGTAACGGGAAGGCTGATTTGAACATCTAGTCATGGGAAAGCAGAATAGCAAGCTCAAACCGGAAGTGCTGGAGGATCTCAAACAAAATACAGAATTTTCAGGTGAGTTTTCGCAGATTTTTATCGCTAGTCACCACTCTCACTCATCACATAATCTGACCAATCACAAGCCGCCAGAGACAACGTGTGCTTATCACGAAAACTGCTGTCTTTCAATTCTGATTGGTCTATCAGCGTTGATGTTTTCAACGATGTAACCATGGATAGCGATGCAAAGTCTGGATGTAACCATGGATAACGAATCAGAGTCTGTATGATGAATATCAATTTCGCTCCAAGTGATCAAACACAGAGTGCCACAAGGCACTGTACTTGGGCCAATTCTATTTTTAGCCTACATCAACAGCATGCTAAACATAAACTTTATGGGTGAAGTGATTTCTAATGCAGACGATACTGTTTTATTCATAGAAGGAAATACCCGGGCAATCGTAGATACAGAAATTGAACACGATATGAAACTAATCACGAAATGGTTGGATGATAACTCATCAACTCTGAACTTAGAGAAAACTGTATATCTACCTTTTGCGAATAATGTAACAGGACTTCCGAAATATGATAAAATTAACATAAATCTACCGTTTCGAAAACAAAAAAATTGGCAACTCACTAAAGCAGAAAAAACGAAATATCTCGGAATCATCATAGACAATCACTTCCGATGGGATCATCAAATTAATGTTATATAACAAAAAAACTGCGGTATATTTCATATCTATTTTCAAAAGTCAAATCCATACTGAATACTAATGAACTCTTATCGATGTATTATGCGTTAGTACAGTCACATCTAACATATTTATGATATTCTCTAGAGACAATTCAGAAAAGGATAATTAAAATAATATTCAGTATGAATATGCGATCTCCCACAAATACTCTATTCGAGAACACAATAATTCTCAGTGTACGAAAACAATTTTACAAGATATCCACACTATATATGGCAAAAAATAAGTCATTCACCAACTGCATAGATCATCATTACCCAACCCGCCTCAATATAAACTGTCCCACGAACATACAAATCGATAGGACAAAGAACATTCACATATGTATGCATGAAAATATATAACGATATGCCATCAGCATTGGAAGAAAAATCAAAAAAACAAGTTTCAAGAAAAACCTAACAAACTGGCAACTCGATTCCAATCAAATTTACATGAACTTTGTTGTTTATTTTCTCTATTAACATTGATACCAATAGATTTAGTTTATTGTTACTTTTATAATAGATTTTATAATTGATTTATAAAAATGATTGGAATAACTGAAGAATTGTAGGAACTAACAAAAAAAGCAATCTACATGTATAGGTCTACTAATCAATTAAAAAATAATTTATTGTTTTACATGTATTTCATAGGTCTCTTAAGGAAGACAGACAAATCACCAGATTTCACCAGAAAAAAAATCATCATTAGGTCGAGTACTGTCATATACCAGAAATTCAGAAAAATTCGATAGGACGCCATTTTTATATAAAAAACGTGTGGGGTCCTTGCGACTTGGCAACATGCAACGGAAAGCAGCCTCTGACCAATGAAATTCGCCAGAAACGCGATTCGCGAGGGAGAAGTAATGGTGTTTGCACTGATGCGCTTTTGTTTTGTCCAAACTCGACGGCAATAATCAATAAACAGTTGAAAATCGCAATATAAGGTTCTTGTACATCTTATTCTAAAGGATTTCACTGTACGAACTAACTTCAAGATGGAAATAAAAACTCAATTATCAGAATTTTATTAAACACTTTCAAAAATGAATTTACACCATTTCTGTGTTTTTTTGTCGTTAAGTGATTGTTGTTATTTGGTCGATGGTCATTAAAAATATGACTACACCATCAGCGCCTCATACGGATATTCTATGAACAAGAACCTCATAAGTGTCGTCAGTGTTTTTCGTAGAATTTCACATTCCCACTTTCCATTCAGCCTCCCCTGCTGAAAGGAGCAGGAGTCGCCACTGGAAGATAGTTCCATATCTATATGAAATATCTACTATCTACCGATTTAGCTGCCATTCAATAACCCCACAAATCTCGGTAATATCAGGGACTGCAATATTCTCAGGGCATTAAAGCATATCGATTTGAAATTCTAATGTAAAGCTGGCGGTTCGTTAGCTTTTATTAGAATTCGACATGAAACCCCAATTACGTGGTAAGTTTGTAGTTTTCCATCGAAAAATCTGTCGACCAGTTCATTTTTTAGCCTCAGTATGGTTTGCGGTCACCTAATAATTTACTGCCTCATTTGATAGGATAGAAAAGCAGCTTGGAATGGCGAGGTGGACAATTTCCTCGCGTATGAAAATCCCTATGAGTGGCGTGAAATTATTGAAAAGCCAAAGAAAATACAGGGTATTCTATATAAGGATGCGAAGACTTATTCGGTGAATTGTCTTCGGCGAATGGAGTCACACTGTTGCATAGATCACCCGGTATTTCCATTATGTACCTATAACAGAAATCCCTATACAGTCTGTCCAAGATAAGGTTGAACAGCATGGGGATCTCGGAAACGGTAGGAGATACGAAGTCGCTTAAATGGGGAAAAAAGTTGCGCATTCGGAGGCTCATATCAAGAGCCTTCGAAAATTTTGAAAATTATTTTTAGTTTTTGAGTTATATCGAAAAAAGTGAATTTTTGGAATTTCTATTTTATTTTTTTTCTCCGTTATTATCAGAGATACAGAAAAACTGAAACGACTTTTTCATTGCAACTTTTGATAAGGTTTAACGTGGTGATACCGATTTTTTTATGCGACGTTTCGTATTCGTGGAACCATCATCAACTTTTGTTCTTTGAATACGGTCCTGATAATTTCTTCACAGATTCTGAAAGGTTTTTTTATTCTGAATTCAACAATGTACTATACAAGGTGATTCGAATGTGTTTTGACCTATTTCTATCCATCATCAATGTTTTTTCGAACTTCCAAAAGAAAAAAAGCCATCAGTTCCACTTATTTCTTATCATTTAGTGTCAAACTTGATGGATTAGTTATTCAATACTGAAAAGTGAATAAAAAATATTTCACCACATCATTCGATCAATGCAGCGTTTAAAATTGTTGATGAATTCTTACACGAATTACTTTGACAACTTAACTTTGACAATACCTACAGAGACATTCATAACAAATGTTCAAAATGATAACCATTATTTTCTGAACAAAGATATCCTCTTCTCACAGTTGTTTCTAAGACATTGCTAAGCATTTCTGGGGTTATTCTATTGAATGCTTCGAAGACACTGTCCCTTAGTTCTTCTTCATCCTCAAAGTTATTTGCGTGTACAAAGTTCGATATATCCCCTAAGAAAAAATCCAGCTGTGTCAAATCAGGCGACCGCGCCGGCCAAGGGATAAAAACGCACGGACTTCTCTGAAATTATGTACCGGAGCGCCATCTTGTTGAAACCAACAGAGTTCTGAACTTCCGCAATCGGTAAATCATCCAGAGCTTCCTCAAGATGATTCTCAAGCGAATTTCTAGAACGTTCGGAAGTCTGTGTTTCATGGTAAATAGAAGGAACAATAATTCGTGTACCAAATATTGCAACCCACATATTCAAGCCGAAACGGTGTTGGTGTCTCGCTGTAATGTATAAATGTTCATTTTATCGTGAACAATAATGTGTATTTTTTCTATCGAAGCTTCCATGATTAGTGACCATGCTTTCATCAGTCCAGATGATTGTTCGAAAGAAATCTGCAAAATTTTAACATTTCCTGGTATACCACTCACAGAATGTCTTGCGCCTTTCGTCATCGCCTGGTTTTAACGCTTGACATATTCTGAATTTGTATGGATGGAATTTTTGTTTCCGCAAAATGAAATGGGTTGTTGATTGAAACCAGTTGATGAGGTATTAGTGTGTTGACTAATTTTCCTTCAAAATAAGTGGAACTGATGGCATTTTTCCTTTGGAGTTTCGAAAAAACATTGATGATGGCCAAAAATAGGTCGAAACACAAATGAACCACCTTGTTAATACATGGTTGAATTCAGAATGAAAAAACCTTTTAGAATCTGTGAAAAAATTATCAGGACCGTATTTAAAAAACAAAAGTTGATGATGGTTCCACGAATACGAAACGTCGCATGAAAAAATCGGTATCACCACGTTGACCGTCATCAAAAGTTGCTATGAAAAAGTATTTTCAGTTTTGCTGTATCTCTAATAATAACGGAGAAAAAAAAAATAAAATTGAAATTCCAAAAATTCACTTTTTTCGATATAACTCAAAAACTAAAAATAATTTTCAAAATTTCCGAAGGCTCTTGATATGAGCCTCCGAATGCGCAACTTTTTCCCCATTTAACCGATTTCGTATCTCTTACCGTTTTCGAGATCCCCATGCTGTTCAACCTTATTTTGGACAGACTGTTTAGGGGGAAATGAAAATAGATGAACCAAACTCATATTTTGGTGAAGAATAAATATATTTTTTAACAAACTCAATGGTGAAAACCGCATATCAATATCCATCATCGTCTCAGAGTTTCAAGATGTAAATCTGCATTTTTGAAAAGTGGCTGCTGAAAGTCACTTTTTTGAATTTTGTTCATGAGAACATTCATTTCCTTAGTAATAACTTTGTCATGTTAATGAAAGAGTTTCAGTAACGTTTGATAAAGGAACATGTTGTTTTCAAAGAATAGAAACTACTTTCTTGGCTATATGCCGCTCAGAACATTGGATTATATCCTCCCGAAATCTATGCAATAATTCGGATAGACGAAAAAAATCGCAAGTGTTTTCTTTCTGAACGTCGAGCTGCGCCTAAGTGGCTCAGGAACGCGTGACTGCCTGCATACCGGTTTCGAGCTGTTCGCTCTCATCAGTGCAGGTCTGTCCCAGATATCATTTTTGACCGCTATCTGATGCGAACCTGACCCAACGTAATTGCATCTCAGCATTTATACTCCACGAGGCGTTCAATGTCCGCGAAATGAACGCGAACGCCGAATGCCACCTGGTAAGGAAAGAAACACTCCAAACCAAGATCCCATTTCAGGTGAAATGGGAGTGGTTGGTTGCCTGACTAGCGTCATGGAAGAGTAGTGATGAATGGAGCATTGAAAAATGTATTCGCCTAGAGGGAGAGCTGATAGAGGGCACGGTTATTTGAGATAATAACGAAGTAATCTCATGATGTTAGTTGAAATTCTAATACATTTCATTTTGGGAGAATAGTAAAATACGAGCTTGATATTATTGTTGTTCCTGTTTGATCAGTAATTGCGTTCGGCCGTTGGAAAAATCAAGATATTGAATCTATTTCAATGTTGTCTTGAACTGCCCCAAACTACTAAATGTAACTATCCCTATTTGTTTTGATTGATGTTGTCTGTTTTTAAAATATTTCTGTGAAAATAATAGCGCCATGCAAGAATGAATAATAATGGGCTTATATCACAAAAAATTTTTATTTCATAATTCGATAGAACTCAACCAAACTAGCTCACCACCGCAAACCGTTTCTTGCTGTGAGCTCCCTACGTTTTATAAAAAATTATTGAAATCCCCGATTTGTCGGACCTCTGAAAACGAGGCAATGATGTGACGTCAAAACCCTAATACTGAAACAAGACTATTCCAGACAGAGATGAATGATACATGATTTCTGACAGAGTGAATTAGCGCGAGATCTCAGTTGAAAGAATCAATATATCAGTTGCCTCAGTCTCCATCGGGCGTTTGGTATTTTCTTTCAACTATGGCGAGATGAGGTTTCTACGTCATAAGAGGGTCCGTTTCCAGAAGGTACTATTATTGATGTCCAAAAATAAAACATTTCAGTTGATTTTTCGATCGAATTATGTCGTCAATCATTATTTATGTATAAAAGGATCATTATAAACATGGTTTGAGTTAAAAGTTCTACTAAGGTGTACACGCCCATTATAATGCCAGTGGGTGCCTGTTTCATTCATCCATTCGTAATTCATTTTAATGACACCCGTCATGATTTCTGATGCATTTGGCTGATCTATTCGTTGTAGTAGTTCAGACTGTCAACTCATAATTCATGATGAGCACTGACTTTATGATTATCAATTTCAGAATAACCATGTAATGAATTTTCCGATTTAAAAAAAAATTTCCTTCTGGAATGTCGGTGGTTCTGTCGCTGCTGGCGAGCAGTGTATCATTGAAGATGATCCTACTTGGTCATTGGTCTCTTTCTTGCTCCTAAAAATTTCAGACTCCTACATCAATAATTACGTAAGATACTGGGATGCTTCCATAAAAAGTGAGACAAAAATAAATATTTCAGGAAAAAAAAGAATAGTTATTCAATTGGGCTTCCTGATTCCGAATTCAAAGTGACTTTCAACCTATTTTGCCTCTTAATATCATTTTCCGGAAATTGAGGTGGTTGCATGGCTGTTCGCGAGCAGTGTATATCAGTGAAGATGATTCCACTTGTTCATAGAGTGCATTTTTGGTATTTCTCTCGCTCCAGCAAATTTCAGGATCCTAACCCAACGATTACGTAAGATACAGGGGTGTTTCCATTGAATGTGAGACACTGTATAAGCAACCATTATGGATTTGATCACATTTCAATCCAATATGGCGGACTTCCGGTTTTTCTGAAAATGCCAGCAACTCTGTTTTTCCAAATGAAACAACCGGTATTCATATTTAAATTCAACAGGTCAAAACAGGTGCAATCTTTATGTCAAATGTAATTTTTTCGAAAAAAATTGATTTATTCAAACTGCAAGGAAATTCATGAGCTATAGTTGTTAATTTTTGAATGTATACAATTTGTTACTGCACCAAAATACAAAAATGATATGTCATTTTTTTCCTTATGGTTTGTTCTGAAGGGACATGTAGATGTTCCATATGTGGTTCCATTTGGAAAAAAATTTTAATGTTATGTGACTGAATTGATTCATCGATGTGGTTTGGCATTTCATCCCTGTTGGCATAATAATAAAATGTCACTTTTCATAAATTACTTTTTTCCCGTGGGAAAAAAGTGAGTACTTTTTTCCCGGATATATATCACATATATATACACTGTTGATGGCTTTTGTTGTGCTATAGTTCCGGAAAATGAGTCAATAATACCGTCTACGGAGAAAGAACTGCAAGTCCTTCTATCTTCCATTCGACTTCGCGGTTACGTATATTACTAAACAACCACTGAATTTGCAATTTTTTGAAATCAAATCACAGAATTAGACTGACAGAAGTGACATCAGATATTTGATTACTTCAAATGAATGATGAAGATGCCTACAACGCGGTGTCCCTACTGTTAAAAACTTAAAATTTCACGTCGATAATTTTCAGATTTCAAAATAATGTAATATATTCCCAATATTAATTCGTCCTTTCTTCTGTCACAGAAAAAAATAGTGTATTATACACGGGAAAAATATTAGATTTCAGCTCACGGTTTTTCCCTTGTATAATAAATAACTATCTTTCGTCGACCTCGAGAAAAAATCGCATTTTACGTTCTAATTTCCGAACGAAAAACCGACTATTCCGAAAGGCAAGTACTTTTCGTCCGCAGACAATATCGATAATATCGATAACTTCAATATCAATACATTGTGATTATCAATAATCCAAAATCACTATCGCCCAACCCTAGTGGCTACTATCACCTCAGTGGCCACCATTCCCCGCTTTACCCTATTCCACGACTTTGAGGAACATTCTGTAACCTTGAAACACTCTCAACACGCTCACATCTATTCATATTGATAATTCGCAGATGCCGAGATACAGGAGTGGTACAAGGGCTTCCTGAAGGACTGCCCGAGCGGCCACCTCTCCGTCGACGAATTCAAGAAGATCTACGGCAACTTCTTCCCGTACGGCGACGCCTCGAAGTTCGCCGAGCACGTGTTTCGCACCTTCGACGCCAACGGCGACGGCACCATCGACTTCCGGGAGTTTCTGTGCGCGCTTTCTGTCACGTCGAGAGGGAAGCTCGAGCAGAAGCTCAAGTGGGCTTTCAGCATGTACGACCTGGACGGCAACGGGTACATATCCAGGCAGGAGATGCTCGAAATCGTCACGGTGAGTAACGACTCGCGCTAACCAAGGCACACCAAGGTTTGTGCTATATTATTTCCACTATCACTTCAAGACAACACCATTATGTTAGCCATCTACGACCTTGAAAATCGTTTTTATGCTCGCTCTCGGTCACGTCGAGAAGGAAGCTCGAGTAGAAGCTCAAGTGGGCTTTCAGCATGTACGACCTGGACGGCAACGGGTACATATCCAGGCAGGAGATGCTCGAAATCGTCACGGTGAGTAACGACTCGCGCTAACCAAGGCACAACAAGGTTTGTGCTATATTATTTCCACTATCACTTCAAGACAACACCATTATGTTAGCCATCTACGACCTTGGAAATCGTTTTTATGCTCGCTCTCGGTCACGTCGAGAAGGAAGCTCGAGTAGAAACTCAAGTGGGCTTTCAGCATGTACGACCTGAACGGCAACGGGTACATATCCAGGCAGGAGATGCTCGAAATCGTCACGGTGAGTAACGACTCGCGCTAACCAAGGCACACCAAGGTTTGTGCTATATTATTTCCACTATCACTTCAAGACAACACCATTATGTTAGCCATCTACGACCTTGAAAATAGTTTTTATGCTCGCTCTCGGTCACGTCGAGAAGGAAGCTCGAGTAGAAACTCAAGTGGGCTTTCAGCATGTACGACCTGAACGGCAACGGGTACATATCCAGGCAGGAGATGCTGGAAATCGTCACGGTGAGTAACGACTTTCGCTACGAAGGCATTTTTTCCACTATCACTTCTAGAACACACCAATATGTTAGCTAACTACGACCTTAAATTCGTTATTGTACGCAATCTCAGTCACGTCGTGGGGACAGCTCGAGCAGAAGCTCAAGTGGGCTTTCAGCTTGAAATCGTCACGGTAAGTAAGGAATTGCGCAGCCAAGGCACACCAAGGTGTGTGCTATATTTGTCCACTATGTCGCCGAGTGGCGATCATGCTAGTTGTGCGTGAAAAAAGTACCCTTTACTACTGGCATGATGACATTGAGGCATTGTCGATCTAAATGAAAACCTAGTAGGCGACCTAGTGGGAGGAGGTATAATATTGTCTGTTCATTCAATCAAAATATGTCTGTCTGTCAAGTGGCGCTGAGGAAGAGAAATTGGAAAAAGCTCATTTGTTTATGTCAAGATAGACCATATTAGGTTGATATTCTCTTCTTCTATTTTTCTCCAATATGTACTCAACCACAGATGTGCTTTCCATCATTGACGTGATATTTGATACAGAGGCGATGAAGAAGATTCTTTCATGAGATTGAGATGTCATAATCAAAAAATTATTTTCTAACAGTTGTCATTAACTTATAACTTCGTCTGTGTGAATATGTTGAACTTTGAATTCGTATCCTTGAAAATTACAATTATTCCTAATTATTTCTTCTAGTATTGGTTTTCTATTGAAGTTTGTTGATTGGTTTGTGAGTGCGATTGTGTTATTTTGCAAAGTTATCTGAAAACTTCGCACTCCAGGAGGTGGAGGTGTAGAATTATCAAGACCTGGTTTCCCCTATCCTCACTGTTGTGAATTTGAGCCTCAAATCCTGAGGCATCAATGAGTTTATGCCATATTCATTGGATTGCAAGGTGAAATTTTCTTCTTGAATCGCATAATATTTGAAACCTAATGCATTGATATTTCATGAATTATATAGTAACTTATCAAAAATATAGAAGGAAATAAGCAGCCCCTACCTTTCTGCTTGGCTTGCATGTCGAAAAAGTGTAAAAGCACTGATGAGTTTCCGAAGTTTCCACAGTTCCAACTTAAATTCAAGTTGCATCATGAGTCAACCTAATACAGCATTGCCTAAACATCTCCCTGCTTCCATTCAAGTATAGGTAGATGGTTTTCATACTTGATAATATCTCTCGTGATAATGTTTCATTTTCGGGTTTCAACATGACAGATTTTCATTTACAAAGGTGACAGGACCATGAAAAATGTTTGGGTTAGGAATAAAAAATGAAAAGTTTACTTAGTTGACGTAGATGTCTCTGAACTACATATTTTCTTGATTTGTCTTCAATGAACAGGCAATATTATAGCTCCTGCCTACTTACTACCTAACTAGGTTGTCATCTAGAACGACAATGATTGAGGTTGCCAGATGTGTATTTGGTTTGTCTCGTATCTGCCAGGGGTGTTTTCTGTTAAAAAAAACCGCAAGTTGGAGAATCCTTTTACTAATCTAGTGTATTTGTCAATCTTATCAGTCTTCAGTCTCTGACTTTCGAGGGTTGCTTTGCAACTAAGCTGGCGGTTAAAAACACTTTTAAAAACACACTTTTAAACACTTTTTTATCATTCCCTATATGGAGTCTTACGGTAACGAGCCTCAATCCTCCCTCACAAACTAAAAATACCCTTAACTCCCAACTGTGGGATAAGCAAATGTCACGTGAAGGGAGAACTCAGGAAATGGAAAGAAATTGAAAAGTCCTCCTACTAGAGAGCAACTCCAGGTCAACGACATGCGAAAGGGTTCATCAAACATTCGCAGAACCGAGCCAAAGAGCTGGTGGAAAATTCAACCGTCAGGAAAATTCTAGGCTTCATCAGAAGTCTAAGGTTAGAAGACCAAAACTAGATAAGGGTAATCACAATTGATCTTCTAGGTTGCAGTGATCGAGAGGTCTCCCAGCCTATACGACACATCTACAATCTACAAACCCCCAACTGCTACTCAGAATAAATCGTAACATAACTCCTACTGATGGGTTATCATGACCCATTCTCAGTTTTCCCATAATACATAGAAATATTTTGATAATGTGGTGAAGAATAATGAAAGAAGTATATTTTCACAAAAAACATTTGAAAAATTCCGTTTTTACTTCCAGGAAAAAATAATAATCCGTATTGGCCATATAAACATACATGGAGTACAAATGGCAGGTCACTGAGATGCACAAGTTAATTACATACAAGTAGTTACTATCATAGACTAAATTATAATATTGTATTCTTGAGGTACGATCATAATAATAATTACAACACATGAAATAATAAGCATTTACACTTCTGTGAGAGACAAATTCTTCAATGACATAAAAACCATTTTTCATTTGGGAATATTTTACCTTTGATTTAAAAAGCTTGTAGCTACTCAAGTTTCTTGGACTGTTTTGTAGATGGAACATTCCAGGATGTGGATTTATTTGAGCTACACGTTTCAAGATGTATTGAAAATCATAAATATCAAGAATAAGCCGAACAATTCTCTTTTGAACAATAAATACTCTGTGTCATCCTGATCCGGAGCTCCATGTTATGACTTAATGTGATAGGTGACTATACAAAGCTGTAGTACAGTTCAATTAGCCCCTCTTGATTTGCATAGGATTCCATTTGAAAAATGACATGAAATGACTTGTTGAGAGTGGAACACACATGGTTTGAATGAATGTCAAAGCTTAAGTCTGAGTACAAGTAGGTACCTAGAAGTTGGACATGATTATCAAGTTTCAGATGGTGTTATAAAGAATACGGTCCATGTCACTTATAGTTTGACCTCCGGAATTTTTCCAAATCCAATATAGCAATTTTGCCTCTGGTGATTTAGTTTGATAAGTCCGCTATATAAAGGATACCAAAAATTATATACACTGATAGATGAATCAAAATTTGTGTTATCATTTGAAAGCCCCTCCATTTGAGACCAAAAATCGAGAATATGTGACAAAGTCAACTACTTGTCAGCAAGCCGAAAATCTCATTGAAATTGGTGGCCTGAAAACGCTTCAGCTCAATGCGCAGAAACTGCCAAATTGTCGGTCATGACATTGAGTCAGGTCTCTTAGTATTCAGAAACATAATATACGCCCCATTAAAACCAAATTAGATCTCGAAATGAATGAGCTTTGATCTTATTCGCGATAGAAAATAACACGTTGCCCGACCTGACGGCAACACATTTGAATACTTCTGAGCAGTTTGTTTTGATGGATGTAACCAATAAGCACTAAAAAACAAATATGAATCAATGAAAACAAACTGAACATACCGCTTTGACAGCTTTCAAAGATCCCGAAAGGTGGCGTACGCTTATTATCTATCGCGAATGGCATTATTGGTCTATACTACATTCCGAAGAACACAGTAAAGGTGGCGCCTCCTCTGAAGGATTGTTTACTCTGAAGAAATAAATATATGGCGCCTAATTCAAAATCATAGCCATTTTAAAGGCGATTCAAAATAAGCAACACTCCGTCTTGTGATGGATGGCGCCTTCTCTGAAGGATTGTTTTCTCTGAAGGAATAAATATATTGCGCCTAATTCAAAATCATAGCCATTTTAAAGGCGATTCAAAATAAGCAACACTCCGTCTTGTGGATCTTCACGTAACTAATATGTTTGTTCACATTCAAATTTCCATGTATATCATTGGAAGTTTAATGGTCACTTTGATATTTTTCTAGTTTGAATCATTATTCCTCAGTTTCTCATGTTATTGAGAAAATTTTGCTCACTGCATTTCAGATAAAATGATTATTTCAATCAGTGCAAACGAAAGATTGTCTGTCAAATTTAATTCAGTTGTATTTTATTCCCACAGATGTGAAAAGTGACAAAAAAAGTTCATAACATTGTAATCCTTTCTCAACAGCAAAGCACATAAGTGCATTTTTTTCTGATAGATGATCTTATTCATATATACATCCAGCTTTGAGAACTTTGTGTCTTTTATCAACACATGTAGATGATTCGACTACAACATAGGGTACATCACATAAACTTACTCATTGACTCAGTGAGATTCAATATAATATTTACTCCACTTAATTTTCATTTTTTGTGCATTGTACAATAGCACAATGCATGCTTGAATTGATGCATAGCCCAGAAAACACGATTCGTATGCCAAAATGTTTATAGTGAAAAATTATTTCAAGGTCATCTCACAGATCTTGCACGCAACTCATTATAATTTTGAAATTATTCAGAGCCCCAATACCTATAAATATAACCTCTATCATCTATAATATGTCAATTTTCCCTGAAGTTTCTCGTTTTATTTGTAAACGTTATTCTGTTCTCACCACCATTACCATAGTGGAACAAATAAAAACAAAACGCAACTAGTTATTTTTGTCGGTGACTGCTTGACTGGACCCCATTCCATTGTTCCAGGCCATCTACAAGATGGTGGGGTCCGTGATGAAGATGCCCGAGGACGAGAGCACGCCGGAGAAGCGCACCGACAAGATCTTCCGCCAGATGGACCGCAACAAGGACGGCAAGCTCAGCCTCGAGGAGTTCATCGAGGGCGCCAAGAGCGACCCCTCCATAGTGAGATTACTGCAGTGCGATCCGCAGGCGCAGTAGTAGTCGCGAGCGCGGTCGCGTTCTAGCGTATTCGTTCCAAGGATATTCGACAACAATTTATCGTTTTATCAGGTGATTTGGCACTTACCATGCGATGGGTCTTTTTCAGAACATTTTTTTGTTGCCTACTTATTTTCGTCGGAAACACAATTTTGATAATGGAAATGGGAACAAACCACTATTTATAAAGATATTTTCCGAAAAAGTTCGAAATTTCACCTTCTTTTTCTGCCTGTCCCTTCTTTTTTCCTAATTGGACTATTATATATTACTATGTACTTCAATGACACATTTTATATACAAAAATCAACTAGAAAACGATTTTTTTGTGATTTTTCCATATTTAGTGAACAATCACAACAGCTGACGGCCATTATATCATCAAAGACATACGCTGCATGTAAAATTCAATCAAGAATTCACTTTCACCGTCGGTATAAGATAACTTCAATTTATTCTTAAGATTCATATCACACAATTACTTTCAACAATCAAAGTGGAAAAAATTCTCAAGTTTATGTTCTTGCACATTTGATCTTCATTGTTCTCGTATTTGTAGGGTATGTCTTTGATAATTGAAAATGTAATGGCGTCAGCTGGCATGATTGTGTACTAAATATGAAAAACTCGCCAGAAAAAACATCTGAGTATATAAGGTGTCCAATGACAAAATAACGAGGGGAAGTAGCTGTGAATATTTATCCAAGACAGGCGGAAAAAGGAGTTTGTTCACATTTTTATTATGAAATTCGTGCTTTTCAGTTGAAAATACGTGAATAACAAACAAATTTTACAGAAAAATATCGCAGGATGAGTGCAAAATTACCTCTTATCATCCCCAAGGTCGTGGTCACGATTTTTGATATGCCTATTTCAGATATTTCGGTTTCGTTCCTCGAAATGGAAAATTGTGGAATGATAAAGCAGAATACTCAGGAAGTACATCTGATTGACCATTTTATTCAGGGTTAGGCATTTCATATTGAAAGGTTGACTTCAAAGCTGTTAAGTGTAAAAAAATGAACCGTGTGCACCACTTTTGGATTGTTGATGACTACTGCAAAAACAATTTTCTGAGCCCTCTTCCTTTCTAAACTAACCATGAGTGACATCAAGAAGAGCAGCCCTCTTTCTTTTCAAACTAACCATGAGTGACATCAAGAAGAGCATAATACAATAGACAAGTCGCACTCAAGTTGGCAGTGCTAATACAGTAACAAAAGGTGCTCACCCACTCCAGGTGATAATATGGTCAATATTATTCTTATATTAATCATCACAAAATAGTTTCCTAACAAGCGAAATCATCAACAGAGTTACTGAATTTTGAATGTATTCAAAATATGTCAAACAGAACTGAAAGATGTCAATCAGTTTGCTTCAAAATGATAATTGGTGGGTAATTTGTTGAAAGAATAATCCAGAAATGTAAAAACAAATGATATTTCAAAGAAATTATGATAGAATACACACTTTCACCAACAATTATTCTCAACCAGCCAACAAAGTCCCCAATCATACTCTTCTATAATTTGAATTGTTTTGGCATTTCATTTTGAAATCCCTACTGTTTGTTTGTAATGAAGATATGAAAGGAAAATTAACTACTGGAATCAGTATAAGTCGCAAATGAAACGACCGAAACACTCGAAATTAAAGAGGAATAAAACAAATGAAACTCACCAAGTTGGCATTTTGACAGTTCCGAACTATAACCCTGAACCTTCGTCCTTTGATAGCATATGTTGGTGGCAGAAAGGTTCACAATGCAGCATGGAGATTGACCATTCTACAGGGTTAGTCGGGAGGAACGCATCAAACTCCAGGTGTGTAAACTCCATATGTTCTGATACGATTCTCATTTGTTTTCATTTTGAATTTAAATAGATTTGTGGCATTTCATAAGACTTCAATTGTACAAACTCGTATCAGTGTCAGTGTGTTTGACGCGTTTATTTTCGAGTTCGTACGATTAAAGTCTTATAAATTGCCACACATCTATTCAAATTTAGAATGAGAACAAATGAGAACTGTATAAGAACATATATGGGTTTTTCAAAATTATTTATACCTGTACAACACACACCTGGAGTTTGGTGCGTTCCTCCCGACTCATCCAGTATACAAATATTGTTGTCTAATAACCTTGTCTTCGTCCGCCGAGAAATACGAAACATAGACTTATTCAGTTTTTTGGTTGTGTATGGGTTGGTCGTTTCGAGCGGACGCTTTCAAAGTTCTTGTTCCTCGACTTTTATATATTTCGTCACTTTGAAACTAATAGTATATCCAAGTTTAGATGTGAACTGCTTATTATTGAAAACCTCATTTAGGGTTAACACTTTCTGGAATATTTGGCTGTTTGAAGGTTGATTCCTAATGCAACGTTTTCATTTCTTTTTTTTTATCAGTACGTGAAGATCAAAAGTTCAACTGAACCCGAGTTTGAATTTTTTTTATATAGACACATTCTGATTGCTTTGTAAAATTGAAAACCAATACCATTAATAACAAAACATTTACAACAAAATTGTACTTAAAGACTCTTGAAGACGAATATTTTCCTGTATGTCGGTTTTTCTGTATTGGGTGTCTTTTTATATTTTCACCCCTACACAGAGGTGCGAGGTGGAAAAAAAATTGAACTAAACACCCTGTTAATGTTCAAGTCTGGTGAATGATATTTATCTTCTATTCTCAAATGAGTATAGTTTCCTAAAGTTCTTTTGAGGAGTTTTCCAGTTATTTAGCTCACAATATTGAATACCAATCAAATGCAGATTGCCGTGCATGGGTACAATAGAATTCCATGAATACAAGACAATTTATTTCTTTTTATATATCTTAGTATGTCATTTGTTGATTCAAAATCGGCTTGAGAGAAATGAAGCAAACTATTAAATTTGTAAAAAAGAGAACAATTATTCCACAAGAGCTGATGAAATACAGGGTTTTTAATGAAACATTCAACAGTTCACACTCGTTTCATTAAATGCCTGAATATTGTACCAATGATATCTCACAACTTTTTTCACCTCGTATAGTGGGGATCAGAATATAAGGAGATACCCTGTTTGAACTTCTCTTGTGGGTTTTCAGATCCAGTCACTTATGACTTTTACGGTTTTACTATTTCCAGTATTAAAAACCAATCATAGTTTGATGGACATAGACATCACCAATAAGAGTTGTAGCCACGAAAATTATTGAAAACAGTGCGTTAGGAATTCCTGATACAATGTTCATCCTGTATCTATTGATTAATCATAGACTTTCCTTTTGGGTTCGAGTAACATGGCTATTATGAGATTCCATTCGGAACCGATCACCCTGTATAACAAACACTCTTGTGTGATCGCGAGGCTAACTTGGCAGAATCCCGGTTGTAATAATTGTAGGTTTCTTTTTAGGATGTAGTGGAATAATTTACTGAAATCTCAAAGAATACTCGAAAGATTGGAATTGATAGTTCAATGCAATTCAAAGATTGAAAAAAGGTACTTCCCCATCTTCAATTCGATATTGTAACACAACGAAATGGAAAATCATTTCAAATCGAATATTTCTTGAAAAATATGCTTTCTGCAAATATACGAACCGAACAATATACAGGGTGGGCCACCAGTAACGCCTCAGTCTCTAGAAGGCTAGCCACTTATCTTCTTGGAATTCTTCCTCTCTAGGAAGTTGCATGTCAACATAGGCTACCATTTAAAATTATTTCGAAACATACAGAGTGTCCCCAAAAACCATAACCATAAAACAGTTCAACTTTTTTCTATCGAACACCCTATATATTATTTCATTTTGAGATTCTCCCTGATTAGCTGATTTCAACGACCCATCATACTTGGGGTCTATCAGTTATAATTACTGAAATGTAGGGTGTGAAAAATCCGAGATTTTCCAAGTTCAAGAATTTTTTGTGTCGAAACTATTCATAGTTGATAAAAATGGCTTACATGTCCCTATCTCAACTTTTGATTAACTATCTACTGATATTTAATTGGGACATATACCGGGTGATCAAGATTCTGAATTCTGCACCACCCTGTATTTGTTTCAATTAAATGTCAGTAGATAGTTGATCAAAAGTTGAGATAGGGACATGTGAGCCGTTTTGACCAATTATGAATAGTTTCGACACAAAAAATTCTTGAACTTGGAAAATCGATTCCTCACACCCTATATCTCAGTAATTATAACTGCTAGACCCCAAGTATGATGGATTGTTGAAATCAGCTCACCAGGGAGAATCTCAAAATGAAATAATATATAGGGTGTTCGATTGAAAAAAGTTCAACTTCAGTGTTTTGTGATTTTTGGGGACATCCTGTATATTTCAAAATAATTTCAAATGGTAGCCTATGTTGACATGCAACTTCCTACAGAGGAAGAATTTCAAGAAAATAAGTGGTTAGCCTTCTAGAGACCGAGGCGTTACTGGTGGCCCACCCTGTAGATTTGATTGAGGATTGAACTTCAATATTGCTTACATTCAGCGAATGGAAAGCTTCAATGTGATATAGTTTTTCACAAGATCTCTGGTATATTCATGAAACAATGATCTGAAATAAACATTCTCAAATTATCATAAATTTGAGAGTTTCATTATCATATGTTGTTGAACATTCGAATAATATATAGCTGTTTATTTTTGGCATCAAAATGTGTCCACATTTATTTTACCGGTCATTCTACATCACTACCAGTATCATCATTTTTAATTATGTGTTACAATCATAAGAAACAAGGACTTCATTGAATTGTTAACAAAAAATTCAGTATTAATGAGTGGGTTATCGATAGTTTTCAGTAAAAGAATTGGACATCACGTGATTTTTCAAACACCGCGGATTGTTAGCTCATCCTCGCATAGTTTTAGTAATGACATATATTTAAACTCTAAATTAATATGATAATGATAAGCAGGAATTTTTAAGCAGAACTCTTTCCAAAGCCGGTCAATGAGCATTATGTTGAGTTGATGGAATCACTCT